ACTCCAGCTTTCTTTTGATTTCCATTTGCATGGAATATCTTTTTCCATCCCCTCACTTTCAGTCTGTATGTGTCCCTAGGTCTGAAGTGGGTCTCTTGTAGACAGCATGTATATGGGTCTTGTTTTTGTATCCATTCACTGAGCCTGTGTCTTTTGGTTGGAGCATTTAATCCATTCACGTTTAAGGTAAATTATCAATATGTATGTTCCTATTATCATTTTCTTAATTGTTATGGGTTTGTTTTTGTAGGTCCTTTTCTTCTCTTGTGTTTCCCACTTAGAGAAGTTCCTGTAGCATTTGTTGTAGAGCTGGTTTGGTGGTGCTGAATTTTCTTAGCTTTTGCTTGTCTGTAAAGCTTTTGATTTCTCCATCGAATCTGAATGAGATCTTTGCTGGGTAGAGTAATCTTGGTTGTAGGTTCTTCCCCTTCATCACTTTAAATATATCATGCCACTCCCTTCTGGCTTATAGAGTTTTTGCTGAGAAATCAGCTGTTAACCTTATGCAATTAACCTTATGCAGTATGTTATTTGTCATTTTTTCCCTTGTTGCTTTCAATAATTTTTCTTTGTCTTTAATTTTTGTCAACTTGATTACTATGTGTCTCAGCATGTTTCTCCTTGGGTTATCCTGTATGGGACTCTCTGCACTTCCTGGACTTGGGGGCTAATTCCTTTCCCATGTTAGGGAAGTTTTTCAACTTATAATCTCTTCAAATATTTTCTCAGGTCATTTCTCTCTCTCTTCTCCTTCTGGGACCCCTATAATGTGAATGTTGTCCCAGAGGTGTCTTAGGTTGTCTTCATTTCTTTTCATTCTTTTTTCTTTATTCTGTTCCGTGGCAGTGAATTCCACCATTCTGTCTTCCAGACCACTTATCTGTTCTTCTGCCTCAATTATTCTGCTATTGATTCCTTCTAGTGTAGTTTTCATTTCAGTTATTGTATTGTTCATCTCTGTTTGTTTGTTCTTTAATTCTTCTAGGTGTTTGTTCTTTAATTCTTCTAGGTTTTTTTTTAAACATTTCTTGCATCTTCTTGATCTTTGCCTCCATTCTTTTTCTGAGGTCCTGGATCATCTTCACTATCATTATTCTGAATTCTTTTTCTGGAAGGTTGCCTATCTCCACTTCATTTAGTTGTTTTTCTGGGGTTTTATCTTGTTCCTTCATCTGGTACACAGCCCTCTGCCTTTTCATCTTGTCTATCTCTTTGTGAATGTAGTTTTTGTTCCACAGGCTGCAGGATTGTAGTTCTTCTTGCTTCTGCTGTCTGCCCTCTGGTGGATGAAGCTGTCTAAGAGGCTTGTCTCCAACTTTAATTCTTAATGAATGACCGCATAAATCAATCCCCTGATATTTGCAGAGTTCATCGGCAGCTTTTGTAGAAGCATCTTCAAGCCCTTCACCCTTCCAGAATGCTACACATTCTTCAGTGACATCCTGAGTACCCAGCCCTGTCCCCTGACCTGCAGACATACTTGTGCTGGCCTCCAGCCCTCATGAAGGCAGAGCTGGGTTAACCCACTTGTGGCTTCATTGGCCAGAGAAGACTCCTGCCCACTCCAACTATGAGTAAGCTCAACTTTTAAAATGACTACACTGCATCAGGTGGCTGACAGGGCCTTCCATTGGACAACGTGTGAAATAGGAAGCTTGGAACTGAAGTGATTCTTTGCCAAGCTAATATTTGGTGAAATACCAGTGAAATCATTTTTAATCAGTAACTTTTATCCCTTAACCATTTATTGAAGAAAAGTGGTAAACTCCTTATCTCAATAATATTTATGCTGTGACATACTAATTGGCATGCCTATTATTATATTTAAATATTGCTCTCTGGCTCATACTCTTATTTCCTTCCCCAACTTCCTCCTTATTCATTCCCCCCAAATTTTAGAGCCCTCCTATTCTAAACTCTATAGTTTTCTATCTACCTTTAAAAAATGTAGAGATATGCATAAGAAATATGTGTACAGCTCAATAAATTATCAAAAAGTGAGCCCCCTCATGTAACCACCACCAGACTTTACCGTTTGTTTATCTTTGAGGCGACTCTCTTTCATCCTTTTTACAGACTTCGCTAAAAAATTCACAGAACTTTTTGGAAACAGAGTAATATTTAATACTTCAAAGACTGGGGTGAGGAATGGAAATAATACTGTAGAGAAAAAGATAAAAGGAAGCACAGTGAAAATGCAAAGTTTACTTGGCGCAATCATAATTTGCTCTACCAATCAAAAAAGTAAAACCACCAGGATACTCAATCATGACCCATTGCCTCTATGACCTTTGCTCAGACTTTGAAGCCAATGACTGAGCAAGGCCAAGTCCACATACAGGGGCTATCACTGCAGCAGTGAGATCAGTGGCCTCTTCTGCATCTTTGGATTGACTAAAGGAACTGGATTACATTCTGGGACTTCATGGTCTTTAATTCTTGGACTAGCATCTCTTTGGATAAACCAGACTGTAGTCTGTTGCTTCAATTAATTGTGCAGTTTAAAAAATAATAATCATGATAGAAATAATATGGTGCGTGTCTTTCCACCACAATGGAATGTAATTAGAAATCAATAACAGAAAGAAAACTGGGAAACACACAAATATGTGGAAATTAAATAACACACACTTAAATACCCAATAGGTTGTAGAAGATATCAAAAGGCAATCAGAAATTACTTTTAGATGAATAAAAATGAAGATATAATATACCAAAACTGATGGGATGGAACAAAAGTGGTATTCAGAGAGATATTTATGGCTATATGTTTAGATATTAAAAGAACAGAGATCTCAAATCAAGAAGCTAAATTTCCACCTTAATACACTGAAAAGAGAAGAGCAAACAAAACATAAAGTGAGCAGAAGGTAGAAAATAGTAAAGATAAGTGAAGAAACTATAATGAACAGGAGAATAAAAAACAATGGAGAAAATCAGTGAAAACAAAAGCTGATGTTTTGAAAAGGTTTTTTAGATAGATTGGCCAAGAAAATAAGAGAAAACTCTCAAATTTTTAGCATCAGAAATTGCTACTGACATTTTAAAAATGAAAATGACTATAAAGAAATCTACATATACTCAATAACTTGTAATAACCTATAGGAAAAGAATCTGAAAAAGAATACATATACAGGGACTTCCCTGGTGGCACAGTGGTTAAGAAACTGCCTACCAATGCAGGGGACACGGGTTTGATCCCTGGTCTGGGAAGATCCCACATGCCTCAGAGCAACTAAGCCCCTGTGCCACAACTACTGAGCCTGTGCTCTAGAGCCCGCGAGCCACAACTACTGAAGCCCGTGCGCCTAGAGCCCGTGCTCCGCAACAAAAGAAACCACCACAGTGAGAAGCCCGCGCACCACAGTGAAGAGTAGCCCCCACTCGCCGCAGCTAGAGAAAGCCCACGCGTGGCAATGAAGACCCATCGCAGCCAAAAATTAATTAATTAATTAATTATTTTTAAAAAAAGAATACATATACGTGTGTGTGTCTGCATAGCTGAATCACTTTGCTGTACACTTGAAACTAACACAACATTGTAAATTAACTTTATTTCAATACAAAAAAGTAATCTATGAACAATAGTATGGCAATAAATTAGAAAACTTAGATAAAATGGATGGATTCTTAGAAAGACACAAACTATAGAAACTGACTTAAAAAGAAATAGACAATCTGATATACCTATAAGAAGTACAAAGTTTTAGTTAGTAATCAAGAAACCACCCACAGTTTGGCAAAGAAAAGCTCATGTCTAGATGGTTTCAATGGTGAATACTACCAAATATTTAAAGAATTAACACCATTTTTTTAACAAACTCTTCCAAAAATTGGAAGATGTTGGAACACTTCCAAATTGTATGAATCTGTACTAAAACCAGGCAAATCGGATAAGATGGTTCTTTGGGACACCAGTCCACCATCTTCCTGGTCTACTGGCTTTCCTAATAAAGTCACTATACCTTGCTTCAATCAGTCAATCAATCAATCAATCAATCAAACCAGCACAAGTAAAGCTACAGACCAACATACCTTATACCATGGGTGCACAAATCCTCAACAGAATACTAGCAAACTGAATCTAGCAACATATAAAAAGTGATACACACCATAACCAAGTGGGGTTTATCCCAGGAATACAAAGTGTTATAATAAACCATGTCAAAGGAATAAAAAACAATGACCACATGATCATCTAATAGATGCATAAAAAGCATGTGACAAAACCCAACACTCTCTTGTGATAAAAATACTCAACAAACAGGAACAGAAGGGAATTTCCTCAACTTTAGAAAAGGCATCTATGAAAAACTAAGCTAACACTATACTTAGTAATGAAAGACTGCATGCTTCCCCTAAGCTTAAACTTTCCCTAAGTTTAAGAACAAGACTAGGAAAATCATAAAGACAGAAAGTAGGCTGGTGTTTACCAGGGGCTGGGGGCAAGGAATAACAGGGAGTTATTGTTTAATGGGTATAGAGCTTCAGTTTCACAAGATGAAAACAGTTATGGGGATGGACAGAGGTGATTTTTATACAACGATGTGAACGTATTTGATACTGCTGAATTGCACACTTAAAAAATGGTTAAGATGGAAAAAAAATGTTTATCATGAAATATATCAAATACAAAGTGTAAATAAAATACATATGTATAATTTAAAGAAGAAAAAAAAAGAACAAGACTAGGAAGCCTCTCTCATCACTTCCACTCCACACTGTACTAGAGGTTCTAGCCAGGGTAATTAGGCAACAAAAGGAAATAAAATGCATCCGTATAGAAAATGAAGTAAAACTCCTCCACCATCAGATAACATGACCTTGTATATAAAAAATCCTAAATAATCCACTAACATCCTATTAGAACTAATACACAATTTCAACAGGGTTTCAGGAAACAAGGTCAATATACAAAATCAATTCTATTTCTATACACTGTAATAAATAACCCAAAAGTGAAATTAAGAAAATAACTCTATTTATAATAACATAAAAAAAGAATATTTAGGGCTTCCCTGGTGGCCCAGTGGTTGAGAGTCCGCCTGCCGATGCAGGGGACACGGGTTCGTGCCCCGGTCCGGGAAGATCCCACATGCCGCGGAGCGGCTGGGCCCGTGAGCCATGGCCGCTGAGCCTGCGCGTCCGGAGCCTGTGCTCCGCAACGGGAGAGGCCACAACAGTGAGAAGCCTGCGTACCGCAAAAAAAATAAATAATAATAATATTTAGGAATAAGTCAACAAAAGAAGTGCAAAACATCTACCCTGAAAACTGCAATACTGTTGCAATAAAGAAAATCTAAGTAAATGAAAAACATCCCATGTACATGTAAAAGAATACTAAACATTGTCAAGACAGCAACTCTACAGATTTAACTCATTCCCTATCAGAATTCTGGCTGGCTTCTTTGTAGAAACTGAAAAGCTGAATTTAAAATTCATATGCAATTGCCAGGGGCACAGAAGAGCCAAAACAATCTCGAAAAAAATAAATAAATAAAGTTGTAGGACTCGTACTGCTGATTTCAAAACTTATCATAAATCTATAATAATCAAGGCAATGTCATACTGGCATAAGAATGGACATATAGATAAATAGAATAAAATTTAGACTCTGGAAATAAATCCACTTGTCTATGGTAAACTGCATGTTGAGAAGGGTTACAAGACCATTCAATGGAGACAAAATAGTCTTTAATAAAAGGTTCTGGGATAAGTGGATAGCTACATGCAAAAGAATGAAATAGACCCTTACCTTACACCATATACAAAAATAAACTCAAAATAAATCAAAGACCTAAACATATGAGCTAAAACCGTACAACTCTTAGAAGAAAACCAATGAATGGGTAGATCTTCATGACCTCAGATTTGGCAATGGATTCTTAGACATGACACCAAAAGCACAGGGAAAAAAAGGAAAATAAAGAATTTGTGCATGATGAAAATAAAAAATTTTTCACTTTAAAGCAAACTAGCAAGAAAGTGAAGAGACACCTACAGAAAGGAAAAAAAACTTTCCAAATCATGTCTGATAAGGGACTCTTACCTAGAATATATAAAGAACACTTACAACTCAACAACAGAAGTATTGAATATAATCCAACTATAAATGGGCAAAATATTTGAATAGACATTTATCTAAAAAAGATTGTGGGGTAACAGTTTGGCAGTTACTTATAAGTTAAACACAGTTACTATATAACTCAGCAATTTCACCTCTGACTACATACCCAAAGAATTGAAAACAGGTATTTAAACGAAAACTTGTACATGAATGGGCATAGCAGCACTGTTCGTAATAGCGGAAAGCTGGAAATGACCCAAGTGTCTGTCAACTGATGAATGGATAAACAAAATGCAGAATGTCCATATAATGGGATATTATTTGGCCATACAAAGAAATGAAGTACTGATATATGCTACAATTTAGATTACCCTTGAAAACATCATGATAAGTGAAAGAAGCCAGCCACAAAAGCCCACATATATGATTCCATCTATACGAAGTGTCCAGAATAAGCAAATCTATAGAGGTAGGAAGTACATTAGTGGTTGCTTAGGGCTAAGAGGAGTGAGAGGTTATAGTTAGGTACAGGGCTTGTGAGTTGACAAAAATGTACAACAATTGACTGTAGTGATGGTTGCACATATCTTTGTACTAAAACCCTTTTTTTTCCAACCTTACTGAGTTATAGTTGAGATACAGTACTGTATTAGTTTGGGTACAGCATAATGACTTCACATACGTATATTGTGAAATTAACCCCATAAGTTTAGTTAACATTCCTCACCTCATATAGTTACAAAAAAATATCTTCCCTTGTGATGAGAACTTTTACGATCTACTTTCTTAGTAATGTACAAATATATCATACAGCAGTGTTAACTATACTCACATTGTACATTACACTTTCAGTACTTTTTATGTTACAACTGAATATTTACACCTTTTGATCACTTTTATCCAATTCTCTCACCACTCAACCCACACCTCTGGTAACCAAAAATCTGATCTTTTTTTTCTATGAGTTTGGTTTTCTTCTTCTTCTTCTTTTTTTCCTTAGTTTAGTTTTTTTTTTATTCTACATATAAGTATTTGCCTTTCTCTGTTTGACTTATTTCACTTAACGTAATACCCTCTAGGTCCTTCCATTTTGTTGCAAATGGCAGGATTTTCTTCCTCTTCTGGGTGAATAATATTCAATTGTGTATGTGTGTGTGTGTATATGTATATGTGTGTATATATATATATATATATATATATATATATATATGTATGGAGACTCAAGTCCTAGAAGAACCTGGCTTTCTCATATATGTATATATATATATATGTATATATACATATATATACACACATACATATGTGTGTGTATATGTACACACACGCACATACAATATCCAGTTGTGTATACTGAATGTTGTATACATTTTGCCTGTCCATTTCATCTGTTGATGGATAGGTAGGATGTAAAAACCAATGAATTATACATTTTACAGTGGTGCATTATATGGCATGTGAATTGTATCTCAATAAAGCTATTATTTAAAAAAGAAAGATAGAGCTTCCCTGGTGGCACAGTGGTTAAGAATGCACCTGCCAATGCAGGGGACATGAGTTCGAGCCCCGGTCCTGGAAGATCCCACATGCTGCAGAGCAACTAAGCCCGTGTGCCACAACTACTGAGTCCACGAGCCACAACTACTGAGCCCATGTGCTACAACTACTGAAGCCCACACGCCTAGAGCCCGTGCTCCACAACAAGAGAAGCCACCACAATGAGAAGCCAGCACACCACAACAAAGAGTAGCCCCCGCTTGCCACAACTAGAGAAAGCCTGTGTGCAGCAATGAAGACCCAATTCAGCCAAAAATAAATAAATAAATAAATAGTTAAAAAAAAAAGAAAGATAAAGGAAGAAAGGTGGAGAGGGAGGAAAGGAGGGAGAGAAGGAGGGATGGAAGAAGGAATAAAGAAAAAGGAATAAAGTAGTCCACATACTTATTAAGAGAATTAATGGAGAGAGGAGATTAAATTTTAAGATATTCTTGCTATATTCCACAAAGGGATCTTGTGGGTTGTTGAGGGAATCAATGTTCACTCCAAATGCTGTGCCAGTAATCACATCCATGCTGTAGGCCCCAAAGAAGCTGCGTAGAGAAAGATATGAACAACTAAAATCAACACCTCTTTACTCTCCTTACCCAACACATATAACAAGAAGTACATGTAAAATCAGATGCCCAGACAAGGCAGGTAGAGAGCCACACTCTTTCAGAACCACCTGTTGGTCTATGGAAGAGTCGATGCTACTATCACTCACACATGAGGTGTGTCTGAGGTGCCAGTGATGCAGCTGGCCCTGTGCCAGGAGGGCTGGGGACACTAAGGCAAGTTAGACGTCCCCCCACAAACTCAAGGAGCTCAGTCATAGAGGGATAGATACCCATAATCAGACAAAGTACAGTAGTGTGTTTTGACTACAGGCAATAATAGGTGTATAAGGACTGTGTCTGAGCATAACCAAGTGTATAAATTTAACACATCCTGGGGGAGTCAAGAAAGGGGACGCTGATCTGGGTCTTGCCTCACCATAGAGTGTGCACTCAGAGCTGATTCCTCTTCAGTGAATTACAGAACAGCAGCACCCTGTTCTGAGTTTCCAGGAACATCATCCCTCACTGTCTTACACCCCTGCTAAGGATCCTGAAAGACCCACACTTCCTCAACTCCAGTGGTCTGTGGTTGACCTGAGGGCAGACTCATTTCTGTGAAATGTAAGAACTAAAAATATTTCTAGTTAAAAAAATAATAAATTACTCCAAATTTGACTTAGGGAATCCCATAGCTAAGTGATCTTATGTCCTCAGTTTTCCCGGGACATTCTCAGTTTATACCTGTTGTTACAGCAGAATTAAAAACAAAAAATCTCAGTTTAGACAACAAATGCTATGATCACTCTACCCATAGCCTGTACAGGGCCTTCTCTCTTTTGAGGCTGAAGGAGGAACAAATGGTGGTTAAGAATTAATATTGAGCATTTTCCTCAGGAAAACTGTGAAGAGATTTAATTTGTTTCAAGTTCCATACCGTAACATTCCTGCCCAGTGCACTGCCTGCCAATATGTACGAAGAGCCTTCCCCACCTCCGCTCCACACCCTCTACACTCAATACTGTGCACAACAATGTTTCTCCTTTCTAAACTATGTGTTTTTGTCTTCCAGAATATCCAAAGTGACAGTGAAGCAGATAAGTTCATCCTGGCTCATGTACACAGGAGAAGACCCTTTCTCTCCCAGCTGCCCTGCTTTCTTTGGCGAGCCACCACTCATTCTGGGGTGGCCCACTGGAGTGGTACCACCACACACTTACTTCTGTCTGGTCACTACAGTAACTCAGCAGTGGGAATCTGGCTCCATGGCAGGCCTCTGGAGGGTCTCAATGGAGCTCAGGTACCAGCAGCTTCACCCCTACTTACTTTTTCATGCTGATTGGCTTGCCTTTCTCTGCTTCCTTCTTCAGGTTCCTCACCAACATGTCTCCAATCTGGCTAATGATGGGGAACATCTAGATACAAAGTACAACATCACCTGAAGTTAAATGCAGACTCAAGTCCTAGAAGTACCTGGCTTTCCCAAGCATGGAGCAGTAAGTGGCATTTTATAAGGAATCTTAAAATGTCTCTTTTAGGATGTAAAGATAAAAGACCATCATTAGAAAACTCAAAATCAGCAGACTTCTCTTTGGAAAGGGACTATGATCTTATTTTCTACCTGTCCCTAGAGTCATTCCTTAAGTTTCTAGTTGAAAGTCTTCTTCTTTTCTTACCTCCTTGAGCTTTCCGCTGGTGAAGGCTGGAGACATCAACGATCGCAATCTCTTCCATTGTTCATCCTCAGACAGAGAGATGGCATTTTTCATAATTCCCGTTGGACCAAAAGACTAGAGTCAAAAGCAAAACACAGAGTCTTATTGGTACTGTCCCAAGGTGATTGACCAGATCTGGGAGCCTATTCTTGAAGCTCCAAAGAAATAGCTATCTGGAGAGGGCAGAAAGCAGAAGCAAGAAGAACTACAATCCTGCAGCCTGTGGAAAAAAAACTACATTCACAGAAAGATAGACAAGATGAAAAGGCAGAGGGCTGTGTACCAGATGAAGGAACAAGATAAAACCCCAGAAAAACAACTAAAAGAAGTGGAGATAGGCAACCTTCCAGAAAAAGAATTCAGAATAATGATAGTGAAGATGATCCAGGACCTCGGGAAAAAAATGGAGGTAAAGATCGAGAAGATGCAAGAAATGTTTAACAAAGACCTAGAAGAATTAAAGAACAAACAAACAGAGATGAACAATAAAATAACTGAAATGAAAACTACACTAGAAGGAATCAATAGCAGAATAACTGAGGCAGAAGAACAGATAAGTGGTCTGGAAGGCAGAATGGTGGAATTCACTGCTGCGGAACAGAATAAAGAAAAAAGAATGAAAAGAAATGAAGACAGCCTAAGAGACCTCTGGGACAACATTAAACACAACAACATTCACATTATAGGGGTCCCAGAAGGAGAAGAGAGAGAGGAAGGACCTAAGAAACTATTTAAAGAGATTATAAGTCAAAAACTTCCCTAATATGGGAAAGGAAACAGCCACCCAAGTCCAGGAAATGCAGAGAGTCCCATACAGGATAAACCCAAGGAGAAACATGCTGAGACACATAGTAATCAAATTGGCAAAAATTAAAGACAAAGAAAAATTATTGAAAGCAGCAAGGGAAAAATGACAAATAACATACAAGGGAACTCCCATAAGGTTAACAGCTGATTTCTCAGCAGAAACTCTATAAGCCAGAAGGGAGTGGCATGATATACTTAGTGATGAAAGGGAAGAACCTACAACCAAGATTACTCTACCCAGCAAAGATCTCATTCAGATTCAATGGAGAAATCAAAAGCTTTACAGACAAGCAAAAGCTAAGAAAATTCAGCACCACCAAACCAGCTCTGCAACAGATGCTACAGGAACTTCTCTAAGTGGGAAACACAAGAGAAGAAAAGGACCTACAAAAACAAACCCATAACAATTAAGAAAATGGTCATAGGAACATACATATCAATAATTACCTTAAACATGAATGGATTAAATGCTCCAACCAAAAGACACAGGCTTGCTGAATGGATACACAAACAAGACCCATATATATGCTGTCTACAAGAGACCCACTTCAGACCTAGGGACACATACAGACTGAAAGTGAGGGGTGGAAAAAGATATTCCATGCAAATGGAAATCAAAAGAAAGCTGGAGT